ACACACGTTTAAGCTGTAGCGGCCGCATTAGGAACTCTTTGGTGGTGGGAGCTTAGCTTAGAGCTTTTTTTCCGGCTCCGCGCGACATAATACCAGTAAATTTATGCAGATTTTGCCCTTGAAGAAGGTTGAGCCCGCATGGCTCTTGTATGACAAGTACGAGTACTGTACCGGTACCCGGGTACCGGGGGGGTTAGCCGGATATGTACTGTACAAGTATGACACTACTCGACACGAGAGAGCCAACAAAACCTCCTCCCCTCGGGGCAAGGAGAGAATATGGCTATCATACGATAACTCGACAATTGTGTGTAAAGCGCTGACTTATCACACCACCCTTGCTATATAATACTGTACTCGTACTTGTGCCGGCGTGCAGCAGGGAGGAGAAGGAGGAGGAGGAGGAGGAGGGAAAAGCTCCTTACCCTTTGCGTCCAATTGTCACTCTACCATTGATACCGGTATGATACAAGTATCACGTACGGTACTAGAGCATACCGGCACACAAGTATACTGTACTATATGCATCTACCCCCCCCCCCCCCCACTTTGTCAATTCTTGTTGGCTATCGTGCACTTGAGTATAAATTTTGTGGGCTACTGTGTCGTACAGCTTATCATACCAGGGTACAGTACGGTACTGTACAGGGCTGGGTTGAGATGACAGCTACTCGAGCGTCATATCATACTGACTGTAGTATCATATCATGGTGCGCCATGTTGGGTCCTTTTCGTCTTTTTTTCCCCTCGGAGTTTTCTTTTTTTTTTTTGTCCTTGGAAGGAAAAAGGATTGTATTGTGGCCAATAAGTCATATATTATCTATATAATATATATATAATAAATATATATATTGCGAAAAAGAAAGGTACTTTTATGATGGTAGTGGTTGATAGTAATAGTAAAAGATGGAAAATTAAATTGAAAAAAAAAAAAGTGAATACCGTTAGTTAAAATAAAATTTCAATAAATAAATAAGTAAATCAAAAGAGTAATCCCTTTTTCTTCTTTGTTTTTATTCCCCCATGTGGCAATTATTGTGTTCCCCACAATATCGGCCAACACAATGTCGTGTGCCGGTTTCCTGCCCCACGTGTATCCGACCGACATCCTAAAGGGACAGCTACGGTACAGTACCCTACTCGTACTATACTTTACTCGTACAGGTACCAACCCCCCAAGCATTCCGGTATGTCCAGCTAAAAATAAATTATCCAGGGTATTTCTCCTTCCCCCCGTCCTCACAAATAATGTCTACTCTCCCCTGGATTGCCTGCTGTAACGATAAAACAAGAAAATTTCTTAATAGGAAGAGAGGGAAAAAACCGGAAAAAACAAAACAAAAAAACAAAAAAACAGAGAGTGTGAGAGAGAAAAGCAATACTGATCAAGCTATGCCATGAGCCCCGCGTGTATTAAGCCCCTAGTGAAAACTCACCTTTCCTCCTATAGTACCCGTAGGAGAGATTCCCGGCTTGTCCGAAGACCCCGTTAAGCCAAACCAAGAATTTGGTCCAACGTCCTAACAATCCCGTCAATGTACCTCTCCCTGAAGAGCCTGACCGACATCCTAGAATTATCCAACTTTTCAAGGTCAACGCAGCCTCTCGAAAGAAAGAGCCTAACAATTTCCTCACGCCCCCCATTGACCGCAAGCACAAAGGGAGAATCGCCACGGTGGTCCTCAACCTTGGGGTTAGCGCCGTGGTCTAGGAGTAACTCCACCGTATCGTACTGTCCGTACATGACTGCGACATGCAGCGGTGACGCCTTGCCACTGCCCTCCATGCCCAGGTCGATATTTCTGCCTTCAGTAACCAACATGCGGACCAATTCGAAATCCTTGGTTTTGATCGCCGAAATAAGCGGTGTCCAGCCCGTGTCGCACGGACTATTAACATCTGTCCGGGGGTCCTTTAGCAGGGCTCGTACGGCTTCACGACTTTGGGAATTGACGGCGGTGAGCAGCGCCGTGCGGCCCCAATTCCCGAGCTGGTTGACGATGGTCCTCGGATCCTGTAGTAGGTGAGTCACCACATCTTCATTGCCGCTCTCGGCCGCGAGGTGTAATGGGCTGTTTCCACGACGATCCGGAGCTGTGACGGTGAAGCCCCCATCCTCAACCAAGCACCGGACAACCTCCGACCGGCCATTACGACATGCCCTGTGGAGCGCGGACCAACCTAACAGATCCCTAACGTTCCGGACGAGCTCAGGACGGCCCAGCAGAAGCTGCACTATGTCCAGGTGCCCGCCGACTGCAGCGAGGTGCAATGCCGTATCCTTGATGAGGTACTGTGATTTGGCGTTGATATTGATGTCATCCCTGGCAATGAGCAATCGTATGGCTGAGGTGTGGCCGGTTATGGCGGCCGCGCACAATGGTGACATGTTGTCCTCGTTAAGCACGTTTGCTTCGATTCCGCATTCTAGTAGGGTACGTATTCCGGTCTCATCCACGCAGAGTAGGGCGTCGACGAGAACACCCCTGCCAACATGATCGAGGAGGCCATAGGATATCAACCTCTTAATTGTGCAGTGGTCTGCTCGGATTGCTGCGCTGAATAGTGCCTTCTTTCCGTAGTTTCGGTATTTCCCGCGACATGCTGACCTCATGAGCGCCGGGGCTAAAAGGTGGGCGAATTGGGGGTGAGTCTGCATCAAGGCGTTGATGTCTCCGGGCGATAGTTGATCAGCGA